GGGCTGCACGCTCGAAACTATTGGGTATCAGGCCGAGAGCGCCTCCGTCCCTGCGTTCAAGGAGGAGGCGGCCGGGAGGACAAGAGGAGGAGGAGGAGGAGGAGGAGGAGGAGGAGGAGGAGGAGGAGGAGGAGGGCGGACGGGGAGAAGGACGGGACGGAGAGGAGGAGGCAGAGGAGGAGGAGAGGAGGAGGAGGAGGAGGGCGGACGGAGGAGCCAGTGCCAGGCAGGGCCGCGACCTTCAAGATCGAGGGCACGCCGGGTTCCGCGCCCTGCCGTGGGAGGCCCGGCGCAGGAGCGGCTCCGCCTCCTCGGGGGGGTGGGGGGAGGGGCAGCAAGAGCGGCCGCACAGACCAGCCGCTTCCTGCACCTCGAGCAGGGAGGAGGAACCGCAGGAGGAGGAGGAGGAGGAGGAGGAGGAGGAGGAGCACGAGGAGGTGGAGAAACGACGGATTCATCAGGTGAGCACGAATCTGACAGCAACAGTCAGTCCCGTTGCCTGCGCCTCCTGCTGCTGTTTCTCGTCCTCCTCCTCCTCCTCGTCCTGCTTTTCCACCTCCGCCTCCTCCATTATCCCTCCTCCTGTTCCTCCATCTCAATAGATTCCTCCTCCTCCTCCTCCTCCTTCTCATCTTCCTCCTCCTCCTCCTCCTCCACCTCCTCCTCCTCCGTCTCCGCCTCCGTCTCCGTCTCCGTCTCTGTCTCCGTTCACTGTTCCTCCTCCTCCTCCCCTCCTCCTCCTCCTGCTCCTCCTCCTTCTCCTCCTCCTCACCCTCATCCCTCTCCTCCTCGTCATCCCCCTCCTCCTCCTCCTCCTCCTCCTCCTCCTACTCCTCTGCCTTCTTGGGTTCGTATACAATTCACAAAACAGTCATCCTCCTCCAACGCCTGAGCCTGCCCCCCCGATCCTCCAGCTTCCCACTCGCCTTCAGCACCACCGCGAGGCTATTCATGGAGCCGAGTGTCTGCGCGTTAGCGGGCCCGGCCAGCCTTGCGGGGGGGCCAGCGCCAGCGTCCGGTGAACCGCTCGGGACCCAGCTCCAATCTCAACGACGTCCAACCCTGTTCCTTTTTCATGGCTCCTCCCTGTTACGCCCCCGCAGTTCTCGCCACAGCGCCGCGCACTTTCGTCCGAAATTCTTCCAAAAATTACAAGGATGGAAGAGGGGGGCGTCTTCGAATGGTACAGTTCTCGCCCCAGCGCCGCGCACGTTACTCTTAAAATCTTGTAGCAATTACCAAGGATGGGAAAAAAACCCTTTTCACAACATGCAGCTCTCGCTTCAATACCGCGCACATTATTCTTCGAAGGATAGGGGGACGATCTTCAAAATGGAGCTTTCGGATGAGCGCCGTGCACCGTCTTCTCAATATACGACATCAGTTGCAAGGATACCGGTACTTCGATCGTCAAATAGGACTCTCGCCCCAGCCCTGCGTTCATCCGTCTTTTCACCCTGGGCCTCTCGCCTGAGCACGGCGCACAATATTCTGAAAGGCCTGTGACAGCTACAGTCGGACTTGGTTGGAGAGGACACGCGAGTGGACACAAGACCCTTGCGAAGGCCACATCGCCATTGGAGTGTAAGAAGGCACGTGTCGCGAGGCACAGGACACAAGGGTACCCTTGAGCTGGCAGGGTCGACCTGTTAATCCGGGCCGACTGTACAAGAACGGACGGAGGTTCCTTTTCCAAAATGGGGCTCCCCCCTCTGCGCCGCGCACGCTCGCGGCACACGACATCGGCAACTGCGGCGACGGAGGGCGGCTCCTTCTCCCAGCGAGGCCCTCGCCTGAGCCTTCCCTTCACTTGACGAACAGAAGGCCGAACAGATGTGGCAACTGCACGGATGGACCCAGACATCCGCCGATGCGATCCTTTTTCATCCTCGGCTCCAGAGGTCCCGACGACTTCCCAAATGGTACTGCTTCGTCCGGGGTCCGTTTTTGATGGCCCCGGGGCCCGACAACGGCCCCCGGAGGCCGAGATCGAGGAAGAGCGCCTGGATGGGAACAAAAATCGTATCGTCGGAGAGCTGGGGAGGGGGTGCCCTCTTCAAACTGGGGCTCTCGCTTTCGACCTCCTCCGAGTGACCAGCCACGTGTGCAGGCCGGTGCATTTGTTGCACGCGTGGGTGGGGTGGCTCCTGAAAGCGGGGCTGCCGCCAGACTCACCTCCAAACGCTGTGACCCTAGATGTCCGCAGTCCTGACAACTCGCCAGAAGGGTGCGGGGCAGTTACAGTCAACCCGTATAGTGTGCACGCACGATAAGGACGCAAGGGCCTCGGAAGGCTATGTCAACGCTTTGCGAGCGCGGCGCGGCCAGCGGAAGCTGCCACGGATGGGCCGAAGGGGAACGATGCAAGGTTTAACCTTGGAAAGTTGCTCGTCCTAACTATGCGGGTTGGCCCCTATGCTTCACACCGGGGCTCTTCATGGCATGCACAAAGGGTGCCCGCATTTCCAGGGGGCGCTTCCTGTGGCGAAAGGGAAGGCTCGTACAGATATGTGGCTGGTTCTGGACCCTTGAACTCAAAAATGTTGTCGTCTCTTGGGGGAACATCCTTTACTTCCGCCACCTTCCGCCAGCCGTCCTCCGGCTTCCGCCAGCGGAGGCTGCTTCGTTTTACTTCCGCCGGCTTCCACAGGCTTCCGCAGGCCTTCCGCCGAGGAAGAGATGACAACTCTCTCGATCCTGGAGGGCGATGCCTTGTCTGGAACGCCTTCTACGAGGAGGGGACTTGGGACGGGGGGGGGTTGCAGTATCGTTGACGCTTCATGGGTTTCCTCTGGTCTTCCTCCTCCTCCTCCTCCTTCTCCTCTTCCTCCTCCTCCTCCTTCTCCTCCTTCTCCTCCTCCTCCTCTTCCTCCTCCTCCTCCTTCTCCTCCTCCTCCTCCTTCTCCTCTTCCTCCTCCTCCTTTACAAAGCCTACTTATTATTTCTCCTCCTCCTCCTCCTTCTCCTCCTCCTCATATTTGCTCTTCTACCCTCCCCGCCAGCTCCCCTCCGCTCACTTTGCCGCCGCCCACAGTTCACTGCCGTTCACCTCCTCCCAGGGGCGGGCCTGGCAGATGTGCAGAGGAGGGGGGGAGGAAAAATAAAAGGAGCAGGAGGAGGGCATTGAGGAGAATGTGAAAGAAGAGAATGAGCAGGAGGGGGAGGAGGAAGAGGAGGAGGAGGAGGAGGAGCAGGAGGAGGAGGTGGAAGAGGAGGAGGAGGAAGAGGAGGAGGAGGAGGAAGAGGAGGAGGAGGACAATGAGGAGCAACAGCAGGAGGAGCACGATGACGATGACGGAAGTGGGGGGAGCAGGAGGCGTGAGAGGAAGGAGAAGAGACGACAAGCCATGATGAGGGAGGGAGGAGGACGAGGATGAGGAGGAGGAGGAGGAAGAGGACGAGGAGGAGAACAATAATAATAAGAGTAGTAAATACAACATATATTGATGACGATAAACCTGAACGTGCAATCATATGAATAATGCTAATGTGGGGTACGAATAATAACAGTAATCGCAACACCACTACTATATAATAATGATGGTGGTACTAACCATACTACAACTAATACTAATACCAACAACAATGCAAGTTATTACACACAAGCATATGTAATACTTAGCACTATGTTAACAATCTCAACACTGATACTACACCTAATACACATACGAAGTAAGATGGTACTACTGTTGCGAGTAATACGAATAATCTTAAGCCTGATACATGTGGTGATAACAGTCATACTAAGAATCGTAATGACAACAAGAGTAGGAAACAAGGAGGGAAGGAGGAGGGACAAGGGAAGAGAAGGAGCAGGGGCAGCAACAAGGGGAGGAGAAGGAGGAGGAGGAGGAGGAGGAGGAGGAAGAGAGGAGGAGGAGGAGTAGACGGAGACGGAGACGCAAGAGGAGGAGGCCGATGAGGCGGAGAAACCCGCCGACCCCCACTTGCTGGGGGTGCAAGGGCGTGTGAGATGATTGGCGGCTGTCCCCATCCCCTGTTCCCTCTGCCCTGGGGTTTGAAATCCGATTCGAGAGTGGGGGGTGGGAGAGGTCTCCGAGCTCATCAACGCCCCCCCGGGGCCTCTGAAGCCTGCATTTCTGCACTCTGTGGCCTCCAAGATGCCTAAGAATCGATCTACGCTTGCTTCAGCAGGATTCCAACACGCACAGGAGTCCTGAAAGACAACCAATATACCCTCAGACTGCCCAAGAGGCCTCAAAGACGCCCCAAGAGGAGTCCAAGACGACCCCCGAGAGGGCCACAAGAAGCAAGAGTCGTCAAACTCCCATGGGAATACGTAGAATGTAGGCAGATTCGCACGTTTGGTCTCAACAGCGTCCAAGACGGCTCAGGAGGCCCCCATGATCGCTCCAAGACGGCCCAGGAAGCCCCCAAGACGGCCCCAAGACGGCCGAAGTCCCAAGAAGGCAAGAGAGCGCCAATGGGGCCCCAAGAGAGGTAACTCGAATTGAAAAGAGGCCCCCAAAGGGTCCCCAAGAGGCCCCAAAGGCCTCACCCGTTGACTTCACTAATCTTCTGGTGGTCGGCGGAATGGCGTAAGTCTCTTGAACTGACGGTGAAGGAGGATTGGAGGAGTGGAGTGGTGCATCGGGAGGGCCAGGGAAAAGCAGAGGGGAAAGGGGCATTAGCGTTGAACTGTTGCCTGGACTTTACCGCGGACTGTCTGACAGAAGAGGGGAACGGGGGGGAAGGAGGCGCATGGCGTGGGGGAAGGCAGAGGGTGGGAGAGGAAGAGAGGAGGGGAGAAGGATGAGGACGAGGAGGACAGGGCTAGGTAAACGGTGTTTTCCGTCTTCGTCTATTTTCGTTTTCCCTCGTTCTGTCTTCCATCTGCCTCTGCTGCAAAGCGACATCAAAACGAAAACGGCCCACGAAATCACCCAAATACCGTCTAGCCCAAGCCCTGGGAAGCGGAGCAGGAGGCTGAGGAGGTGGAGGCCAAGAGGGGGACGGGGGGGCTGGACGCGAACTTCTTTTTTCACAGCAGCATGGGGCAGCGACCGATGGAGTGCTCCCCAAGCGTGCGGCAAGTACCGCGCGCCCTACGATGTGTATACGCTACCGTGCCAGTCCGACACGCTTTTCCGACGGAGCGCCGCAAAGCACTGCTAACGGGGGAAAGCGCATGAGTGGCTCCGGGCACGGGCAGAAGGACGGGCTAGGAGGACGGCCAGCTTGGGGAGGTCTCGCATGGTCTCACCTCAGGCGCCGCTCGTGATCGCTCACAGCGGGTTTCCAACGCAGGCGCACCAGTTGCACCAGTTCTCTACCCTCCGTTTTCGCCACGACTGGGCACAGGTGTAGAGCAAGGAATGGAAGTGGAAGGGAGAAGCATCTGGAGGATGATGATGATGATGAGGATAAGGAAGAGGATAAGGAGGAGGAGGAGGAGGAGGAGGAGGAGGAGGAGGATAAGGAGGAGGAGGAGGAGGAGGAGGAGGCGGAGGCTCGGCCTTGGGAGTTCTGCCCTCTTGCCCGCGCGGGCGCTGGTGGCTCACTTGTTCATCTTCCCCTTGCCGCCCTTGAGCAGGCCCGTGCGGCGGGCCGCGATCAGGCCGACCTTCGCTCCGGGCGGCGCGTTCCGGCTGGTGGTCGTCGGGTGGCCCACGTGCTGGTGGTTGCCTGGGGACACGCGGCACGCGTGCCCGGGATCGGCCGCGCGCCCGGGGTTCGAGGTTCGATTGGAGGCCTGGAAATGGGCACCAACACGGGCTTGCCTCTACAGGGGGAAGGTGATCTCTAGATTTCGGTGTCGGCGGTAATATTTCGACCACCTTGGACGCCAGAATATTACCACCATCACCGAGGTCGGGATCTTCTTCCCTCGGTGGAGGCACACCGCCGATATGGAATGTTGGCGTCAACCTCTAAGCCTGCGATTCGAGGTTCGAGGAGGCTCTCGTCGGCCCGGGGGTGCCCAGACAGGGCGCCCCGAGCGGCCGCCTGAGGCCCGAACTGCGGCCCGAGAACCAGACTCGGCGGCGCGCCCGGGGGGGGAAGGCAGAGGGGCGGGCCTTCTTGAAGGGGCCCCAGGACACACAAATAAATACACACAAATAAAAAGATCCCCCATATTTTTCCATATTTTCTGGGTTTTTGTCTTCCCGCCCAATTCCCATATTTTCCCATATTTTCCTGCGAGTCGACGATTAATTGTGTCTGTGTGTTTTTTCCCCTCCTGACTTCTCAGGAGGCTCAGGAGGACTCCCGCCCTCTCGGCCGCTGCCTAAGCCTTCACCGAAGATCCCTCCCGCCTTCTGAGAAGGCCTGCCCCCTCTCACTTTCCCCGCCCCCCGCCCCCCGGCGCGCCGCCGACGGGACCACACGATCGGTAAGACAGGCGGGGAAGGTCTGGCCAGGGCCGTCGGAGTCAGAGGGCGGAGGGAGGGCAGGGAGTCAGACGATGGGGGAAGGACGGCATATGGAACGCGCCGAATGAGGTGGGGGGAGGACGAATGAAAAATTGAACAAAGCGCCACGAAAAGAAATCCGCCGGCCCCCTTGTGGGGCCACCAGGCTGTAGGCCGGAGGTTCGCAGTTTCCTGTACCAGTTGCAGCTTCCAGTTTCCACTGTTACAGTTCTGCTTCTTGCTGCTTACTGTTCCTTGTTGACTTCTTGCTGCTGACTGTTCCTTGTTGATGGACCACGCGAGGGGGGGAGGCCCAAAACGAGCATTTTTTCGCCCAAATCGTATTGTCTGAATTGCTGGAATGGGCAAAAATTAACACCCTCACGCAGATCGACGGGGTCAGGTCCAAAAACACAAGGGATTTGCCACATTTCTGAAATTCGGTGGCACCTCTCACGCAGATCGGCGGGGTCAGGGTCCAAAAACAAACATGGATTTGCCACATGCCTGAAATTCGGCGGCACCCCTCACGCAGATCGGCAGGGTCAGGGTCCAAAAACACAAGGGATCTGCAACATGTCTGAAATTCGGTGGCACCCCTTACGCAGATCGGCGGGGTCAGGGTCCACAAACACAAGGGTTTTGCCACATTTTTGAAATTCGGTGCACCCTTCAAGCAGATCGGCAAGGTCAGGGTCAAAACGCCAGGGATTTCTGAAATTCGGCGGCACCCCTCACGCAGATCGGCAGGGTCAGGGTCCAAAAACACAAGGGATCTGCAACATTTCTGAAATTCGGCGGCACCCCTCACGCAGATCGGCAGGGTCAGGGTCAAAAAACACAAGGGATTTGCCACATTTCTGAAATTCGGTGGCACCCCCCACGCAGATCGGCAGGGTCAGGGTCCAAAACAGGGGATGTGCCACATTTCTGAAATTCGGTGGCACCTCTCACGCAGATCGGCGGGGTCAGGGTCCAAAAACAAACATGGATGTGCCACATGTCTGAAATTCGGCGGCACCCCTCACGCAGATCGGCAGGGTCAGGGTCCAAAAACACAAGGGATCTGCAACATGTCTGAAATTCGGTGGCACCCCTCACGCAGATCGGCGGGGTCAGGGTCCACAAACACAAGGGTTTTGCCACATTTTTGAAATTCGGTGCACCCCTCAAGCAGATCGGCGGGGTCAGGGTCAAAAACGCAAGGGATTTCTAAAATTCGGCGGCACCCCTCACGCAGATCGGCAGGGTCAGGGTCCAAAAACACAGCAGATTTTCCACATTTCTGAAATTCGGTGGCACCCTTCACTCAGATCGGCGGGGTCAGGGTCCAAAAACATAAGGGGATTGCCACATTTCTGAAATTCGGCGGCACCCCTCACGCAGATCGGCAGGGTCAGGGTCCAAAAACAAAAGGGATTTGCCACATTTCTGAAATTCGGTGGCACCCCCCACGCAGATCGGCAGGGTCAGGGTCCAAAACAGGGGATGTGCCACATTTCTGAAATTCGGTGGCACCCCTCACGCAGATCGGTAGGGTCAGGGTCCAAAAACACATGGAATTTGCTACATTTCTGAAATTCGGCGGTACCCCTCACGCATATCCGTAGGGTCAGGGTCCAAAAACACATGGGATGTGCCACATTTCTGAAATTCGGTGGCACCCCCCACGCAGATCGGCAGGGTCAGGGTCCAAAAACAAACAGGTCCCGACACTGCTTCACGGCGAAGCCAAAGCCTCATGACTTCGCTCTTCCATGGCCCATTCTCCGAGAGAGGGGGCTGGCGGCAAGGGGCGAAGCCCTTACGGATAGCACGCGCGCTGTGGTTCTTGCCAGAGGGAGCGGCGAGAAACAGGAGGACGAGGTCGATGAGGAGGGGAAGCCTGTCAGGACCCATCCTCGGGCTTTCTTGGAGCCACCTGGGGCTCTGTCGGGGCCATCTCAAGGAAACCTCGGGCCTGTTGGGGAAGCAGTCTGGGGATCCCGGGGCCGTCTGAGGGCGTCTTCGGGCCATCTTGGGGTGGCCTTGGGCCGCCGTGGAGCCCGGGGCAGGCTCGGGTGCCATCTTGGCTCCGATATGGGGCCTCTTGGGGCCCTCTTGGGGGTTCGCTGGGGCCGTCTGGGCCTTCTTGGGAGCCGCTGGGGCCCGTCTCGGAGCCATCTTGAGCTGAATCGGGGGGGTGACAAAGACGCAATGAGCAAGTACAGTTTGTTGAAGGGGCCCAGGGAGACACAAATCAGTAGACACACATTCCAGGTCCCGATATGTTGCATTATGTGATGGGTTTTCGTTTTATCCTACATCTCCCGTGATTTCCCATGGTTCCTCGGAAATCCGCCGACCCTGTCGGCGTGTGCGAGGGGCTTGGCTGTTCGAGTCGTCGTCTCCGTGGGTCGTCGCCTCCGTCGTCCCCTTTCCCTGCAGCTTCCTTCTCAAGCTCGTGAGCGAGAGAAAAATCGAGCAGTGTCGTAATCGAGTCGAAGGGAAGCCCTTTCCCTTTGATCCCTTCCCCAGGGGGGGGGGGGTCCCGGGGGAGTGGAGGGGGGGGGCCCGGGGGGGGTCCCGGGGGGGGTCCCGGGAGAGGTCCCGGGAGGGGTCCCGGGGAGGGTCCCGGGGGGGCTGGGGGGGCAGATTCGTTTTTCCTCGCGCGGCCTAGAAACCTCGAAAACACTCCAAATGAGGTCCGAATGCCCCAGATGGCCCCCGAGACGGCCCAAGAGGGCCCCGAGTCGCCCAAAGATCGGCCGAAAACGCCCAATATAGCCCCAAGACCGTCCAAGAAGCCTCCAAGACGTCCCAGGCTCCCTCCAAGAGACCCCCAGGAAGCCCTAAGAGGCCCCCACGAGGCTTCCAAGCGGCCCCTAAGGGCTTCCCAAGAGGCCCACAAACTACCCCCAAGAGGCCCCCAAGAGCGTTCGTCGTCGTCGTCGTCGTCGTCGTCGTCGTCGCCATTCAGGGTCGGCGGCACCGGCCGTAAGGCCTTCGCAATCGCCTCGGATGTATACGACCCCTATAACAACTGCTATCGAAGATTACGTGTGTCTGTGACTACAGGATGTGTCCCTCCTGATGTTTGTTAAATCCATATTACCTTGGGCCTATTGCCTCCTGATGTTTGTTAAATCCATATTACCTTGGGCCTATTGGGGCCCTTCTTAGGGACTGATGGGTCGCCTTCGAGTTTTCCTGGGCATCATGGAAGCATCTGCAGACCGTCTTGGAAGGCATGTAGGCACGCTGAATGGAGGACCGAAGGGGAGACGGGTGGGGGTGGCGGGGGGCTTTCCGGAAAAGGGGGTGGGGGGTGGGGCGGCGGACGCAAGGCCGCACGGTCGGCAGGCCGGCATGATTAGCCCACTGCGAGATCATACCAGCAAGTACGACGATGACAGCTGCGGAAGCTCACGACCACCGCCACCAGAGGTAGAAAAAACATGACTGTGCACATGCACCGATCCTGGCCAGGCCCATCCTGAGCCCATGATCGGTGCATACGCCCTCCTGGCGCGGCCAGGAAGGCCTATGCTCAGGTCGGACATGTCCCCGTGCAGGCGGATTTGGGGCAACAAATGTAACAATATTCAAAACATGCCCCCAAATAGTCAACGAATACTCAAAACATCGTCCCAGATTGTTTCCTATTTTTGAATATTCCTCCTGTAGAGCGACATGCCCACTTATCTTGGGCCCAGGACGCATCTGGCCAGCATCGGTGCACGCGCACAGCTCTCCTCGCCCGAGGAAGTGTGCCAGGGTCTGCTGCCTCGTCAGAGGGAGGAGAAACCACATAAACATAAACTGTTGGATCTCCGTGCGGATGTCTTGGAACCGCGCCGGAACCCCCTCCCTGCGGCGCCGGAGGCGCCGCTGGGGGGGCCCAGCGCGGATCCAAGAAACCCGCGCGGAGCGCCAAAGGTTTATGTTTATGTGGCTTTTTCCTCTTCGGCTCGTGCGGTGCAAGTGTAACGGATGCCCCGCCGGCGCGCCTGGAGAGTTGCACGCCACGGGCTGGCACACCGCCACCGCCCCCTGACCCCCCCCCCTCCGGGTGGTGGCAGTGATCCCTCCTGCGTTAGGGGCTGACTCCTGCTGTCTCTCGACTTGCGCTGGACCTCCCACGATTTGCTCCAGATTTCCCTGGAGATCTCTGAATATACCTCGATCGATTGCCATCTAACGAGGTTCACTCAGATGTACCTCGATCTATCTGGCCTGATCCCCACAAATCGATCGGAGAAGAAAAATCCTCAAGACCTTTGGGGCTCCTCCCTCCGTGAGCTGCCTCCGCCGTGCGGGTGCTCGACGGGGTTCATGGCGCAGCCGCGCACCTTGGGCCAGCTGTTGCGCTTGACCCGGTACTTGTGGAAATTGTTGCCCGCTTTCAGCACCGGCTTGTCCATGCGGCCGCCTCCGGCCACGATGCCCACGATGGCGCGGCAAGTGGACGGAATCGTCTTGCGGGTGCCAGATGGCAGCCGCACGCGGGTCTTCCTGTTGTCGTCGGAGTGGCCCACCACCATACACGACGTCCCAGATGCACGCGCGATCCTGCCGCGGTCGGACGCCTTCTCCTCGCACATGGAGACGACGGTGCCCTCTGGCATCTTGCCCACCGGCATCACGTTGCCGACGGCGAGCTGCGCCTTTGAGCCGCAGTAGACAAACTGTCCAGTGTGCAGGCCCTCCACGGCCACCATCAGCTCCTTGTTCAGCTTGTAGCGGTACTGGTCGTGGAAGACCACCTCCGCCAGGGGGGCGCCGCGGCCCGGGTCGTGGATGATGTTCTTGACGAGCCCCTTGATGTACCCAGCGCGCTCGGCGTAGTCCTGGGAGCGGAGCTTCACCGCGCCCTTCCGGAGGCGCGTCTTCGCGGTGAAGATCAGGCTCTTGCCCTTGCGCGATCCACGGATGACGCGGCCCATGGCTAGCCGACCCTCCCTCCTTTAGCGCACAGACGCGCGCGACTGCACAGCCTACGCGCGATGCCTTGAGCCAGTGGCTAGGGGAGGATGAGGATGAGGAGGAGGAAAAGGAGGCACTAAGGTATGCCTAACGGCGCTTCAAGAACAGAGCAGCTCACTTCGCGAGGCGCTTGTGAAGAGACACGGGATGGGCAACTGGACGGACATGATTTGGAAGAGGAGATGGCCTCTTCTCCCCCCCCCTGCATTGCGGCTTAAGTCGCG